TGAACTCCGCCTCCTCATGTAACGGTGGCCACAGTTTGTCTCTGTGCTCTTTATGAACTCCGCCTCCTCATGTAACGGTGGCCACAGTTTGTCTCTGTGCTCTTTATGAACTCCGCCTCCTCATGTAACGGTGGCCACAGTTTGTCTCTGTGCTCTTTTTGAACTCTGGCACCTTGGTCTTTACAAATGAAGCAGTGCTTACAAGGCAAATCTGTCAGTGAAAACAAGATATACACAAGATACAATGAGTACAAATGTTAACTAGCACAAATCTAAATACTAGTTAAATAAATGACTTCATGAAATGTCTTTTCATTGGTCAAATAGATGTCAAATGCTATCAAGAGATAGAGGATAATGGACGTATTCCATCTACAGTGAAAAGTCACAATCTTCAGAAAGTGGACGCATGTGGTTTTCATTGGATAGCAAAAATGTATAATCATGTACAACCCAGCTCATTAGTGAGTCAAAGTAAAGGGTTGAGTCAAAGTAATACAGGACTCAAGAGCAGATTTACTGACATTCACAGGCGGCTGGGTGTGTGAAACCAGATGTGTGATATTAGGAAAATCTGGCAACCAACAAATTAAACTAAAGAAATGGAGGCCGAGGAAACTAAAGAAATGGAGGCTGGTCGCAGGTCAGAGCGGGTGTCAATATGGGTATCAACGCGGGTGTCAACGCGGGTGTCAACGCGGGTGTCAATACGGGTATCAACGCGGGTGTCAACGCGGGTGTCAACGCGGGTGTCAACGCGGGTGTCAACGCGGGTGTCAATATGGGTGTCAACGCGGGTGTCAACACGGGTGTCAATACGGGTGTCAATACGGGTATCAATACGGGTGTCAATACGGGTGTCAATACGGGTATCAATACGGGTGTCAATACGGGTATCAATGCGGGTGTCAACGCGGGTGTCAATACAGGTGTCAACGCGGGTATCAACGCGGGTGTCAATGCGGGTGTCAATACGGGTGTCAACACGGGTGTCAATGCGGGTGTCAATACGGGTATCAATNCGGGTGTCAATGCGGGTGTCAATACGGGTATCAATACGGGTGTCAACGCGGGTATCAACGCGGGTGTCAACGCGGCTGTCAACGCGGGTGTCAACGCAGGTGTCAATACGAGTATCAATGCGGGTGTCAACGCGGGTGTCAATGCGGGCCACTCTAATCTTGCAGGACGAGGGCAGCGTTCGAGTCGAAGCTCCAGAAAAGCAGCCGGACGACAGACTTCCGCGTGCCGCAGTCAATATGCACCATGTTCAACGTGATGGTGGACGCCAAGGCCCAGTCAGCCAAGCTGTGCGCCATGGAGCAGGGCCAGGAGGTAGTGCGGTCCGCTGCCTTTTCCCAGCCCCCGGCGGCCATGCTACTCGGCACGGCGTCTCCCTGTGGCCCCAGGAAGCAGCAGAAAGCCGCTCTCCATTCTGCAAAGTAGCAGTCAGCACCTGGGAGTCCGCTTTGCACACTGAGTTTCATTTGCAAGTATTATTTGTTTGCCCAGTAGGAGCGTTCATTATTTAGCAATTCACAATCCAGTGCTTTTACTTTTTTTTTCCTGTATCATCATTTGTAGCAATTTAATTAAGATGGTTCATTACTTGGATGTAATTAAATTTAGAAATGCTCTCATTTTTTGTCCCTATATTCTTTTAAATTTTTTTCACATCGTTTTGAAACATTCACGTTTCCATTAGAGTATTTCCTTTATTTCCTTCTTTTCTTTTCTCAATATTGTGAAAGTTTGTTAAAAAACGGGTAAGTGTGGCGAACAATTCAATTGACGTCTCACCCTCATTTCCCAAATGCATAATTAGCAGCTGTCACGGCTTTGCCAATTCCCCCCTCCATTAAATTGTTTTGATTTCATTACCATATGCAGTAGATGGCATTGAATATACATGGGCTTTACGTGATGGCTGTCACATCCACGGCGGATGGAGATGAGCGACAATTGTCAGACAGGCTTATTCGCAACAAAATCAGATGGACAGACGTTTGTGAATCTGTGTCTTTTCTCTTTCAATGTGGACCGGGGTGCTAAGAGGAACGTGGGCTGGGTGGTGCTCTAAAGAAAGTTTGGTTTTTTTGTACATTTCAGAGACAGTACCATTCCCAGATCGACAATCTCATCGAGGAGACGGTTAAGGAGATGACCACTCTTCTGGTAGCGAAGGTGCTTTTCTCATTCTCACAGCAGGCCTGATTAATCCACCTTATATCTGAATCTGTAAACGGTGTTTAATACTGGAAGAGGTGTCACCTGAGCATATGTGTCTCTCCTTTCCTGCAGTTTGTGGTCATTCTCGAAAGCGTCCTGGCCAAGCTGTCCCGGTACGACGAAGGGACACTCTTCTCTTCATTCCTCTCTTTCACAGTAAGTGCATGGAGCTGCACTCCGTTCCTGCACCCCGACTAACAGACACCAACTCCAAAGTAACCGCCATTGTTTGCCACATCGTTAAGGCTTGAATTAACACGCTTGTCTGCCCTTATTTGACGGTGCGTAGTTTTTCCTCGGACGTGGTGCCAAAAACTTAATGCGGCAAACATTTTCACGCATTTGGAATGCGATGCTTAGAATGCGACGCTGGGGTGCCGTCAGCGCCTAGCATGACTGACCTTGCATGAACATTGTGAAACTGCAGTGCGCAATTATTTCTCCTAATTGCAGCATTGCTTAAATGGCCCAGCTCCCTACTGCTGAACATGTTAGCTTTGGTCACAGTCCAAAGAGTTGCAAAACTTACTCTCTTCTCCTAATTTCTTCTGTCTAAGGTGAAAGCAGCCTCAAAGTATGTGGATGTCCCTGTAAGTTAGAATGCCATCGATGTCAGTGCTTGTGCTTGTGTGTTCCCTGTGCTTGTTTTGTGATTTCTACCTGTCATGGCTGAAAGGTAGAAAGGTAGGTAGACAGGTACGTAGGTAGGGAGGTAGGTTAAGGGCAGCCTTCCTTAAAAAAAGAGTGCTTTATGCCCTCTTTGAAATTGTCAGTATTGCTCATAAGAGACATGCAGAAATCTCTGCGGAGCCTTCCAGAGATGAGCGATTTCTGAATAACAGGTGGCCTTCAGCTATTTGTTTTCATCTCTCTGCGAATAATTGGTCCAAGTTTACTCGAGAGCTGGACGCCCAAGAAGGCTCACAGATGGTCCCCTCTCCACAAACGTCCTATGGTGCTGCTCGCTCCAGCATGACCGACGCGTGGCTCTCCCCCGCTAACACAGGGACGCTCTCTGTTGTGTCACTGAACACATTTTTAGCCTGTTGCAAGGCGGACTTCTTCCTTTTGGCCTTGAGACGGCCTCAGAGGGTATCACTTAGCTGCCAACACATCTTCGGCAAGCACAACAGTTTTAAATTAAAGCCTCGTCAGCGACACTTGTGTATATTTCTCGGATTCTGAAGGCCAGGGAACCTGGCTTTTCCCGCAGTAACTGTCTGCTTAAAGCACACAATAAAATTACAGATGGAGTCTTGCATTTGCACCCCTCAGAACGGCTTTGAAGTGTTAACTAAGTTCAATTTGCAGTGACTGACAACTGAGTATTGACCTCATCTGTTGGTTAGGGGTGTGTTTAATTCACCGATAGAAATGTTTAAAAAGGGTTTCTCGCAAATGCATTGTCTTCGTGAATACTTTAAGCCTTTCAAAAGCAACACATTTATGAAAGCACTCTACGGCTCGTTAATGAGTTTTCCGACAATGCTGTTTACGTTATAGAGTGTTGCGGAGTGGCGCATATTGGAATTGTCAAAACCGACATTACTTCCAAATCAGAGCTGATGACAAAAGACAATGATTTCATATATTTATAGTAGGCATAATGCTTACTCCGACTTGGCCTTATCGAGTCACGTTTGAACGCATTTAAGTCTGAGGTCCATTATGTTTAATACACACTGACGCATGATGGCAGCCCGAGTAGGACGTTAGCAGGTGTATCGCTTATTCTGAAGTGTTGTGATTGTATATTTATGTTGTTATTTGCTGTTCTGCATTTATATTACTGTACTCTACTTAATGTTTTGCCTCTTTCGTACAGCCATGGAAATACGTTAAAATTGACTTCTGTCCAGTGGTCCTGCTCCCAAATACAAACGCAAGTCGATGCAAGACTGTTGTGTGTGCATGTGTGTGTGTGTGTGTGTGTGTGTGTGTGTACAGTATACTATGAAAAAGTCTTAGACAGTCAAAGAAAACATTTACTGCTATTTATCTGGATAGTATGTGTATATTTACTCAGAGAAAAACAACTGAGCCTAACATATGCAAATTAACAGTAGCGCAATAAAGACTAACAAGGATTTTGTCTGTCCTCCAAACAGTTACTGATATCTTGGATGGCTAGATGAACACGGCTTCAGTTCACAAACCTCAGGGGCACCTCAGACATTTCATGTGTTTGTTACATCTCACCTCCCGTTAACATTTAATTAATTTAGTTAGTTAAATAATCCAGTGAGATATTGATTAGCCGAGCGTGGTAATGCTTTAGTCAGTATATGGTTAACATGCATGAGTGTATTGGACAGCTACTACAAATTCTGGGATGCCTTTGGAATGACAACTGACGCACTTTGACAGACATCATACTTTTACACCAACATGAAGATCATTTAAACATCTTTTTCCTTGACAGCCTAAGAATTTTGCACAGTGCTATACGTATTCAAATCTATAATGAGTCTAAAAGTGTCCAAAATACATTGCTATAGATTTTTTAAATTTAACACTCAAAGTGATGTTTTTAAATTAATATCATAGATGGTAAAAGTGTCATGTGGAATTTTTTTTTTTGAATAAACATTTGTTCAAAGCTCTTGCCCACCCACTGACCCAAAAAGACAAAGGAAATGAGGAAAAGAGATCAGAGAGATTCACTTCCATAAGTGAACAAGGTCACAGAGATCTACCTTCAAAAGTGATATTTCAGAAAGAGTAAACACGGAGATCCACCATCAGAAGTGATATTTCATAAAGAGATCACAGAGATCCACTTCAAGAAGTGATATTTTAGAAAGAGATCACAGAGATGCACCACCAGAAGTGATATTTTAGAAAAAGATCACAGAGATCCACCACCAGAAGTGATATTTTAGAAAGAGATCACAGAGATGCATCACCAGAAGTGATATTTTAGAAAGAGATCACAGAGATTCACCACCAGAAGTGATATTTTAGAAAGAGATCACGGAGATCCACCACCAGAAGTGATATTTTAGAAAGAGATCACAGAGATCCACCCCAGAAGTGATATTTCAGAAAGAGATCACAGAGATTCACCACCAGAAGTGATATTTCAGAAAGAGATCACAGAGATTCACCACCAGAAGTGATATTTCAGAAAGAGATCACAGAGATTCCCCCCAGAAGTGATATTTCAGAAAGAGATCACAGAGATTCA